ACTACAAATGCCATGATGATCTGGACGAGACCGCCGAATTGAGGCAAAGGTAAGAATCTCTGGATGAACTATCTAATGTTAGTTAAATGTAGTAATTAATAAATAGGCTACATTTTTTAAATGGACAATTCTATGAACTGTCTTGTGCAAGTTTTAAATTGACACAATACCTGTTAGCAAAGGCGTCAGCTAGAGATGACGTGCAGGAGCTTGCAGGGATTTGTAGTTTTGCATGATGTCTAGTTTAATGCTAATTAGCATTTTCGAGAGTCTGAGAGTAAGTAGAGCCGAATATATTGATAAAAGCTAACTTGTCCGAGAGAGATTTACATGGTTATCAAAACATCACGCCAGGATAAGCCTACGCGAAACACAGCCCTTATTTTAAGTGTTTAAGTGGAAAAATGAATGGTGGAAAAATGATTGGAACCATTTCCCTGTTTGACCGCTAGGTTTTATGGGTATTATGACACCTCCACTGTGGGGCTCTATGGGAGATGCAGTAAAGGAATGCAGTACTGAGGCAGAGGGCTCATAGAGAGGATGACTGGCTACTACTCTGAACTGTGTGTGGTGAGATTTCTGGCGCCCAGAGCTGCTGAGGCATCACCCAAGTGGGTGCCATATATTGTAAAGGAGGAGGTCCAGTAGCTACATGACTCAGGCTGGTACCCAGAGTAGCCCTCTACATGATCGTCACCAGACTCTTCATCAACCATCTCCTTGACCACTTTCCTCTGATCAAGCCATGAACTCAAAGACTTGGCCTCTATTGGTTGACCTAACTATAGCTAGGCTACTCATGATGATGTACCTGTATTACTTGTTTATTATTTGAGATTGTTATGAAAAGCGCTATAGAAATTATTATTACTGTTCAGGTTTTATTCTGTAGGCTACTTATAAGACCTAATTGAGGAAGTACAACTAAGAACAGTCTTATGGAAGAATATTGAGCCTGAATTTTAATTAGATAAACAGACATAATAATTTACACAATATTCAAGTGGGTCAGTCTCAAACTGATTGTATCAGTCTGCCCTAACATGGGAACTTACCTGACCATGGGTGTGTTTGTAAATTCACTCTGGAGTGCCAGAGTGCGCTCAGACTACGCTCTGGTCGTTCATAAATTCAGAGCCTTGTCAGATTGTCGCTCTCTGAGCGTTCAGAGCGCACACTGGACAGTCTAACCAGTGAGTAGGGTTGATCCGAGCGTTCTGACCTCACAACTGCAGTCAAGCACCCAAGCTAACTGGCTAAAGTTGGCTAGCTTGCTAGCTACTTCCAGACACAAACAAGAGAACATCTCACTCTGACCATTTTACTGGCCATAGCAGAGCTGGTTTGGCTCTTTTCATGTTATCTAGCGCGTTGGTGGACTATCTCTGTGCTGTTGGCAACAACTTATTAACATTTTTTTGCTGACCTTTACTGACACCGGTCATATTCAACGGGTGTTGCCTGTTCATAAATTCATCAGTTATTCTGCGCTCTGGCACACTCAGATGAGAGTGCTCTTAAATCGGAGTAGATAGCCAGAGTGAATTTACAAACGAACCCCGTTTAATGACAGAGAACGGTGGGAAGACCTACGTCATCCCGCCAGATAAAAGCACACATGCCACGTTCACGTCCTAGTCGGAACTAGAAAACTCGTATATTTCAGATTTGATAATTTGTTGTAGTTATACACGTGCTGCGTTCAACTAGTTAGCAAGTGAAAACATTTTTAAACCCAAGAGTTTCTAAACCCAGATGCGCAACATCGCGACCCTTCTGGGAAAGCTTGCGAAACAGACAAAGAAGACCAGGCCGAGGTTTGTGGTTTGAGAAGTCAATGAGAGAAGTGAACAATTCTTCCTTAGTTGTTCATTTTCTCGAAATCGAAAGGCACAACCTAGATTCGAGCCAATGTCTTAAGTATTTGAACATGTCATTACTCCAACCTCGTGAAAGTGACAAACTGACACATTTTCATTCTTGTCAAAAACGTGTTTCTGCGCATGAGCTTAGCTAGCCAAAGTCGCCATGACATCGCCAATAAGCGTTATCGGGGATTTCTATTGGATGAGCAGTTTCATGCTATCTTCATACTGTACTGTACTGTCTTTATAGTATGCGTTTTTTACTGGAAGTGGCGCTTACGCTCTAATCTTGGCGCGGGACAGACCAAAGCAGCATGCGTTGCACTTGATAGGAGCGAGCGTTCACTGCCCGTTGTCCTCCAAGCAGGTTGTTTGTTTGTTCAAAGGCAGATAACTACAGACGTTGCCAAAACAGTAGCTTTAATCCTTGTAACACATGGTGCCATGATAGAATGCAATGTTAAGCAGAATGAAATATTTAAAAGTTATTTAAGAATAGGCCAATCATTTATTCAATTTCTAAATTAACCCTTGCAAAGATAAGGTTTATTAATTGGCCACACAAAGGTTGTTTAATAAGGTGATATTTCTGATGGTTATGAAGCTTATAACAGTTATCAGGATGGTCACAAACTGTAGCATAGTGTGGTCTATAAGTATGTATAGCAGCCATCCATTTTGTTCTTCAATTTCACAAACACTATGAGAGACAAATATGGATTGTTCAATAACAAGGTGGGTTTCATAGCCTATATTAACCTTAAATTAATCTAACATTTTCAGTACTGTAGCCCTCAGCGTGCAAAGAATAAATGGAAACTTTCAGACTTTCAATCCTAAATTCTCACATGAAGATGCTATGCAGAGGTCAGCCAGTGCTTTGTGGTTTCAACCTTACTAGTCCTTGATTTCCTTCTGGAAAAAATGTGTACTTAACACACACACACACACACACACACACTTTCTATAATGGAAACAGGAGCCAGGTTGCAAATTCCTTTACTATTTCAACACCTCTTGCAGAGTAAGACACCGTAATTACTTGTAAATAAATACTAAACACTATGATAATACAGTTTAATAGTTAATTTGTTCTATATTCACAACTGTCCAACTATCCATCGCTGTCATGCCAACATGAATAATATCCTTTGTGCAACATAGTAGTAAAGGCCAGTGAACAGGTTATTCTGTTGTACAAATGAGGCATTCAAGTAACTGACAACATATGCAATATAGACAATACAAATGTGATGCTTTTTAGAAGTCATTTTTATTAAGTTTGTCCCCTGTTGTTTTCAGAGCTCTAGCTGCCAAATAGGCCCGTGTGGATGCCACCCTCCCAAACCTCTCTTCAGCCCTCCACCTGGCTGTCCAGAGTGGGAGTGAGGTCATAACCCAGACCCTGCTGGAGATAAGCTCAGACCCCAACACCCCCGGGCCTAAAGCACACACCCCTCTGCACCTGGCTGCCCAACACAACAGGCCTACCATAGTGTGGTTACTATTAAAGGCTGGAGCTCAGGTATTAAAATATGTCCACTCATGGTCTGTCTATTCCTAAACATGATCTTTATTTAGTTCTCCCCCCTTACAATGTAACTTATCATTATCATAAGTGAACAACTTTTGAACCAACATGTTCTTAATAAGGTTGTTAGGAATGGTTTTATCCATTCTTCTCTCCTCTCAGGTGAATGCTGTCTCCCAGGAATGCAAGACCCCCCTCCACACAGCCAGCCAGAAGGGCCACTCAGACACAGTGAGTCAGCTCTTGAAGGGCCAGGCAGACCAAGAGTACACCGACAGGCAGGGCAGGACTGCCCTGTACTGGGCAGCTACTACCCAAGGAGAGGGGGCTGTGGTGGGACTACTGCTCTCAGCTGAGGCTGACCACAACGCCACCAACGGGAGAAGAAGACGCTATTACACTTATCAGCCATGGAAGGGAGAGTGGACGCCGTGTCAACACTATTGGTGGGGAAGTCAAGGGGAGGGGCCAAAGATATGGACGTTTCCACTCCTCTCCACTACGCTACGGCTAACGGTCACGTCCGAGCAGCCGCCGCTCTCCTCTCCTCGAAGAACGTAAAAGATGGGAACGTGTGGAGGAAAATGCCACTGCATGCTGCCTCTGAACACGGCCATGATGGCCTAGTGGAGCTGCTGCTGAAAGGCAGGGTGAAGATAAACGCTCTGGACAACAGCAAAGACATGCCCCTGCACTGTGCAGTCTGTGTCGGCCACCAGAGGGAGGCAAAGAGGCTGGTGGGATGGGGAGCACAGGGGACAGGGCAGGGGGAGAGGGCCAACCTACAGATCAGAAATAATGTAGGGAAGACCCCACTGCAGGTGGCAGAGGCTGGGGAAACACAGGGACACGAGGACATCGCCACCCTGCTGAAGAGAAAGATGCTACTCATCAAATAGAGGAGAAGATAGAGTTTCCAACAGAGGGCAGCTAGATATCTGGAACCCTTACTTGTGATAGATTACTCTAGACAAATGACTCAATTTTGTAATATGTAGTAGACAGAGTGAGTGAGCACAAATGTAACAATGATTATGAATTTGTCATTGCTTTATTCTGATTGCTGGTTTTGAAATGCTCCCTGCACTAAATGTTACATTTCAATCAAGAGCTCAATTTTGTAAAAAGTTTGAAATAAACATTTTTTAATTTTATTTAGGTTGTGTTCCCCCAATTACAACACTTGGTGGCCTCATCAGATTGAAATTATCTCACTGCTTTAAGCACTCAGATCACAATATGCAACAGGGGAAGAGAAGAATATCCTATGAATATAGGAGGAAACTTTTTTTAAACGTTGAATTCATGTTTGTTCAAATATGAAGTCTGAAGTTTACTATTCCTGCTGCCTCCCCATTTTTAACAATATATATTTACATTTTAGTAGATGCTCTTATCCAGAGCGACTTACATTCTTTTTTAGTGAGTGCATACATTCTTTTTTATACTGCTACTTTTTTATACTAGGTTGTGTGGATTTATGTTCATTTCCTGTTCCCTGTAGTGTAATTTACTTTTCTTTAGTGAATTGTTTAACCCCCATCCAGTTGGTGGCGACAATACACCTTTTTTTGTGTGTAGTTCGCCAATATACCCAAAGAAGAAGAATATTGCTGTAAACTAGCGTGTTGCTCCCAAATGGCTAGAAACGAGGAGAAACAACTGGGGAAATTGAACAGATTATGGCTTCAAAAAGAAAGAGATGGCAAGTGGCAATCAATCACCTTTCAATAGATTGAGTATTCAGTTCGTCTTCATTTTAGCTACACGTTAACTATGGCTCTTTGCAGTGCTAGCAAACACTGCTAGCATTATCTAGCTAGCTACTGTAGCTAGCTAGTTAGACTTCCAATCAAGTTAATTTCGCTCTCTGGCAAGCTTGCTACTGCCGACATAGCTAGATGATAGAAAACGCAAAAGTCACACATTTCACGTTATTTTTTAGCCCAGAACACCCACTGCCTTAGCTATCAACGAGCGAGCCTGTTCTTAACAAGCTAGTTAGTTACATTCTATCTCTGGTCCACGATGTTATGTTCGGTTTGAGTCTTTTTCAATGCCATGCATCTTTCCATTCATCCCTCCAAAAATGATATTACCCCCGATTTTGACAATAGTGTGCAACTCAGTGTTACCAACTCCTCAGTAAGGAAAGTAGCTGTTGGCTGTCCTAGAAGTCGCTAAATGACGTCACCACCTGCTTTGCATAATTGGCCATGTGCTTGTAATTGTGATGGATGCTGTAGGAGAGAGGAATAACGTAGTGGAAGAGACAAAAAGTGAGTAAAAAACACCCTACATTTACATCCCGCCCTGAATGTAAGCCAGGGCGGGATCAGCCAGTGGCGGTTTCCCGCATGCGCGATTCATTTGCAGTCTGGACACGGAGGGGTGAACATCTCCTGCGCTGACTGCAGCTGGGAGGGACTGCTGCACGAGGACTGGGCCGCCTGTGAATGCTTTGGGACGGGGCTGGGGCCCACGGCAGCACCGGCTACCCAGCCCCAGCATCCCATTGGTTCCTGCTTGAACCCCAACCCCCCAGTAATGGGAAACAAGGTTTTCTGAAGGCTTGAGCATGACAGGCTGGGGTGAAGGACACTGTCTACCGCAGGGTTCCCCAACTGGTGGCACACGGGCCGAATTTGGCCCGTGGGTGGTTTTATTTGGCACCTCAAGTTTTTTACAAAATGTTCATTGTTGAACATAAAAGACTGTAAAAACACCAGGAAATCAGCGCCAAATGATTTTCATTTAAGAAACCTGTTCCCAAGTATTCCCGTATTCAAATGTAAGCAAGGTTTGAAGTGATTATGTTTTAGTCAAATATATTTGTTTGGGCTTCTTGCAGTCAATTTGCAATCTACAAATGATTTGTACATATGTTCCTGCCCCCTGACCATCCGCTCAAGAAAAACCCTCACTGTTGTTAACAGAACTGCGGGAAAACAGTGTCCGACAGGCGGGGGCGAAGGACACTGTCTAGTACCGGTCACCCCCACCACCCATTAGCACATCAGGCGGGAGGCTGGGGTGACACCGTGTGCTAGCTAACTATACTGAACAAAAATATAAAAGCAACAATTTCAACAATTTTTACTGAGTTACAGTTCATATAAGGAAATCAGTCAATTTCAAATGAATGCATTAGGCCCTAATCTATGGATTTCACATGACTGGGCAGGTGCGCACCCAATCAGAATGAGTTTTTCCCCACAAAAGGGCTTTATTACAGACATAAATAGTCCTCAGTTTCATCAGCTGTCCGGGTGGCTGGTCTCAGACGATCCCTACGGTGAGTGTGAGCGAGTGACACAGGGAGGAGGGAGACAGAAACCAACCAAACCGACTCGCGCTATAGTAGACTAATAGCTGCCATAGCTAGCTTATGTATCATCCAATATGATTACCTAGTACCTGTCTTGACTGCATCAAACCGGGAGAAGTTAGCTAGCTAGCTAGGTTAATTGAGGCTGCATGCACTTTCTCGTCCTACACAGTTACAAACAACAACAACTCCATTCAGAATATAAAGCAGCAGCCTACCTGTTGGCTCTTGGTTGTTGTAGCCTATCGTTCTCCTTTAACTTTTAATTCCATAATTTTAATTCCATCTTCCATTGATTAGATATCTCCTAACTTTTGCCCCACACAGAGGCTCTATGACTGTAGCCTATTGCTGCTTTGATGACTTGTGGTTGGCCAACAACAACAGCAAGCTACACACGCCCCTCTTGTGAAAAGCAAAGAGCAGCAGCATAAATTATACAATTTCTCTCTACTGCAGCAGTCACGTTTGTATCTGAATGGGTCCTTCCGGACAAGGCAGTTAAAATTAGAAATACCCGAGACCCGTGAGAATCATATCAGATCCGACCCAGACCTGTGTCATTATTTAGAATTCAGTGTCCGGACCTACACAGGTCCCGGATCGGGTCTCGGGTATTCGGGTACAGGTGGATCCGTGAAGACCTATAGTACAGGTCAGCTCGTAGTTCAGGTCCAACGCATGCGGATGGACAATAACTATTCTTGCGGTAAGGGTACAACTCTAAAGTAGATTATTTTGTACTTTGGATAAATGACAGATTGCGCGTACAGAGAAAGGTTTGTCAGAACTCTAGCAACATTTTTACTTTGGTGAGTAACGAAAGTATATTAAAGCCAGTCACTAAACACAATTGTGATAAAATTCCTAATATATGAAGGGTAGCTGACTAAACTCAACCCCATTGTGAAGGAAGTTTCTGATGAGCTCCACCAACGGAGTTGAGCAGAGACCAGACTTTGTGGAATTCAGCTCCGACTACATCGATTCGCTTAAGGTTAATACTTCAAAACATTTAAATTATGAAATGCTTACCTTGTTGTACCTACAGTGAGGGGAAAAAGTATTTGATCCCCTGCTGATTTTGTACGTTTGCCCACTGACAAAGAAATTATCAGTCTATAATTTTAATGGTAGGTTTATTTGAACAGTGAGAGACAGAATAACAACAAAAAATCCAGAAAAACGGATGTCAAAAATGTTAAAAATTGATTTGCATTTTAATGAGGGAAATAAGTATTTGACCCCCTCTCAATCAGAAAGATTTCTGGCTCCCAGGTGTCTTTTATACAGGTAACGAGCTGAGATTAGGAGCACACTCTTAAAGGGAGTGCTCCTAATCTCAGCTTGTTACCTGTATAAAAGACACCTGTTCACAGAAGCAATCAATCAATCAGATTCCAAACTCTCCACCATGGCCAATACCAAAGAGCTCTCCAAGGATGTCAGGGACAAGATTGTAGACCTACACAAGGCTGGAATGGGCTACAAGACCATTGCCAAGCAGCTTGGTGAGAAGGTGACAACAGTTGGTGCGATTATTTGCAAATGGAAGAAACACAAAATAACTGTCAATCTCCCTCGGCCTGGGGCTCCATGCAAGATCTCACCTCGTGGAGTTGCAATGATCATGAGAACGGTGAGGAATCAGCCCAGAACTACACGGGGGGATCTTGTCAATGATCTCAAGGCAGCTGGGACCATAGTCACCAAGAAAACAATTGGTAACACACTACGCCGTGAAGGACTGAAATCCTGCAGCGCCCGCAAGGTCCCCCTGCTCAAGAAAGCACATATACAGGGCCGTCTGAAGTTTGCCAATGAACATCTGAATGATTCAGAGGAGAACTGGGTGAAAGTGTTGTGGTCAGATGAGACCAGAATCGAGCTCTTTGGCATCAACTCAAGTCGCCGTGTTTGGAGGAGGAGGAATGCTGCCTGTGACCCAAAGAACACCATCCCCTCCATCAAACATGGAGGTGGAAACGTTATGCTTTGGGGGTGTTTTTCTGCTAAGGGGACAGGACAACTTCACCGCATCAAAGGGACGATGGACGGGGCCATGTACCGTCAAATCTTGGGTGAGAACCTCCTTCCCCCCAGCCAGGGCATTGAAAATGGGTCGTGGATGGGTATTCCAGCATGATTACACAAGCACATATATTTATAACTTCCTACTATTCGGGGTCAACTCCTTACACATCTAGACAGCCAATACATCTCTGTTGCGAGGCAGGAACTTAATTGGTTCTTCTCACTGGTGTAGTTATGGCCCTGCCTGATGCTAGAACCTTTGTGGGCATGGAAGTGTATCCGTGTGAAATCGGGCTGTTTCTTCTCACTTCATCTGACCTGACCTCGGGCCGAATTCCTCGCTCCTCCCTAATCCGCGACTGTCCTACCTTATCAGTGACTGAAACAAGACTGTTTTCCCTTGCCTCCCTTTTTAGGAGCCTTGATGTTCAACAATAACATGTTTGACAGAATGTAAACTTTCTGCTCTCCGCCTTGTCTCACTCAGTAACTTTCCATACACCACATTCCTATACACCCTTCATTGACGCCAACCTATACCTTCCTTATACATGTAAAGTAATCAGTAAGTTCTAGTATGGTAACATGAATAAGTATATTTAAAGCTAGAACCCAACACAGCCCAACACCTTTCAACTTATTCAGATCTGGGTGATCAGTTGAATCCGGTGTGTTAGTGCAGGGCTTGAATAAAAGCCTGTGTTGAACATTACTGTAATGTGTAGCTAAATGTAATTCCTTCTCTGTAACCTGAAACAGAGGGCCATATCAAAGATGTCCATGAACCTAGACCCAAACTGGTGAGTTGGCCTACTCATTTAATCTAATTGACAGTGTAATTCACACATGCTTAATTGGGGATAGATATGACTTGCACCTATGATCTGATATGTTTTTTCTCCACAGTCAACACTCAATTCAGCCTCATCCATTAAAAAGTGGATCCCAAGCATCAAGAGTGAAATCGAGTATTATCTGCAGGTAGGCTTTTTTTTATTTTTTTATTTCACCTTTATTTAACCAGGTAAGCCAGTTGAGAACAGGTTCTCATTTACAACTGCGACCTGGCCAAGACAAAGCAAAGTAGTGCAACAAAAACAACACAGAGTTACATATGGGGTAAAAAAAAACATAAAGTCAGAAATACAACAGAAAATATATATACAGTGTGTGCAAATGTAGCAAGTTATGGAGGTAAGGCAATAAATAGGCTATAGTGCAGAATAATTACAATAGTATTAACACTGGAATGCTAGATGTGCAAGAGATTATGTGCAAATAGAGATACTGGGGTGCAAAAGAGCAAATTAAATAGCAATATAGGGATGAGGTAGTTGGGTGGGCTAATTTCAGATGGGCTGTGTACAGGTGCAGTGATCGGTAAGGTGCTCTGACAACTGATGCTTAAAGTTATTGAGGGAGATAAGAGTCTCCAGCTTCAGAGATTTTTGCAATTCGTTCCAGTCATTGGCAGCAGAGAACTGGAAGGAATGGCGGCCAAAGGAGGTGTTGGCTTTGGGAATGACCAGTGAGATATACCTGCTGGAGCGCAGACTACGGGTGGGTGCTGCTATGGTGACCAATGAGCTAAGATAAGGCGGGGATTTGCCTAGCAGTGATTTATAGATGGCCTGGAGCCAGTGGGTTTGACGACGAACATGTAGTGAGGACCAGCCAACAAGAGCGTACAGGTCACAGTGGTGGGTAGTGTATGGGGCTTTGGAGACAAAACGGATGGCACTGTGATAGACTACATCCAATTTGCTGAGTAGAGTGTTGGAGGCTATTTTATAAATGACATCGCCGAAGTCAAGGATCGGTAGGATAGTCAGTTTTACGAGGGCATGTTTGGCAGCATGAGTGAAGGAGGCTTTGTTGCGAAATAGGAAGCCGATTCTAGATTTAACTTTGGATTGGAGATTCTTTATGTGAGTCTGGAAGTTGAGTTTACAGTCTAACCAGACACCTAGATATTTGTAGTTGTCCACATACTCTAGGTCAGACCCGTCGAGAGTGGTGATTCTAGTCGGGTGGGCGGGTGCTAGCAGCGTTCGATTGAAAAGCATGCATTTAGTTTTACTAGTGTTTAAGAGCAGTTGAAGGCTACTGAAGGATTGTTGTATGGCATTGAAGCTCGTTTGGAGGTTTGTTAACACAGTGTCCAATGAAGGGCCAGATGTATACAAAATGGTGTCGTCTGCGTAGAGGTGGATCTGAGAGTCACCAAGCAAGAGCGACATCATTGATATACACGGAGAAAAGTGTTGGGCCAAGAATTGAACCCTGTGGCACCCCCATAGAGACTGCCATAGGTCCAGACAACAGGCCCTCCGATTTGACACACTGAACTCTATCTGAGAAGTAGTTGGTGAACCAGGCGAGGCAGTCATTTGAGAAACCAAGGCTATTTAGTCTGCCAATAAGAATGCGGTGGTTGACAGAGTCGAAAGCCTTGGCCAGGTCGATGAAGACGGCTGCACAGTACTGTCTATTATCAATCGCGGTTATAATATCGTTTAGGACCTTGAGCGTGGCTGAAGTGCACCCGTGACCAGCTCGGAAACCGGATTGCATAGCGGAGAAGGTACGGTGGTATTCGAAATGGTCGATGATCTGTTTATTAACTTGGCTTTCGAATACTTTCGAAAGGCAGGGCAGGATGGATATAGGTCTGTAGCAGTTTGGATCTAGAGTGTCACCCCCTTTGAAGAGGGGGATGACCGCGGCAGCTTTCCAATCTCTGGGGATCTCAGACGTTATGAAAGAGAGGTTGAACAGACTAGTAATAGGGGTTGCGACAATTTCGGCGGCTAGTTTTAGGAAGAAAGGGTCCAGATTGTCTAGCCCAGCTGATTTGTAGGGGTCCAGATTTTGCAGCGCTTTCAAAACATCAGCTGTCTGAATTTGTGTGAAGGAGAAGCGGGGGGGGCATGGGCAAGTTGCAGCAGAGGGTGCAGAGTTGGTGGCCGGGTTAGTGGTAGCCAGATGGAAAGCATGGCCAGCTGTAGCAAAATGCTTGTTGAAATTCTCGATTATTGTAGATTTATCGGTGGTGATAGTGTTTCCTAGCCTCAGTGCAGTGGGCAGCTGGGAGGAAGTGCTCTTATTCTCCATGGACTTTACAGTGTCCCAAAACTTTTTGGAGTTAGTGCTACAGGATGCAAATTTCTGTTAAAAAGTTAGCCTTTGCTTTCCTGACTGCTTGTGTATATTGGTTCCTAACTTCCCTGAAAAGTTGCATATCGCGGGGGCTATTTGATGCTAATGCTGTACGCCACAGGATGTTTTTGTGCTGGTCAAGGGCAGTCAAGTCTGAGGAGAACCAGGGGCTATATCGGTTCTTAGTTCTGTATTTTTTGAATGGGGCATGTTTATTTAAGATTGAGAGGAAATTACTTTTAAGGAACAACCAGGCATCCTCTACTGACGGAATGAGATCTATATCCATCCAGGATACCTGGGCCAGGTCAATTAGGAAGGCCTCCTCGCTAAAGTGTTTTAGGGAGCGTTTGACAGTGATGAGGGGTGGTTGTTTGACCGCGGACCCGTTACGGACGCAGGCAATAAGGCAGTGATCGCTGAGATCCTGGTTGAAGACAGCTGAGGTGTATTTAGAGGGTATGTTAGTCAGGATGATATCTATGAGGGTACCCATGTTTAAGGATTTAGGGTTGTACCTGGTAGGTTCGTTGATAATTTGCGTGAGGTTGAGGGCATCTAGCTTGGATTGTAGGATGGCTGGGGTATTAAGCATATCCCAATTTAGGTCACCAAGCAGTACAAACTCAGAGGATAAATGGGGGGCAATCAATTCACATATGGTGTCCAGGGCACAGCTGGGGGCTGAGGGGGGTCTGTAGCAAGCGGCAACAGTGAGAGACTTTTTTCTGGAAAGGTGGATTTTTAGAAGTAGAAGCTCAAACTGTTTGGGCACAGACCTGGATAGTATGATAGAGCTCTGCAGGCTATCTCTACAGTAGATTGCAACTCCACCCCCTTTGGCAGTTCTATCTAGACGGAAAATGTTATAGTTGGGGATGGAAATTTCAGAATTTTTGGTGGCCTTCCTGAGCCAGGATTCAGACACTGCTAGAACATCAGGGTTAGCAGAGTGTGCTAACGCAGTGAATAACTCAAACTTAGGAAGTAGACTTCTGATATTTATGTGCAAGAAACCAAGACTTTTGCGATTACAGAAGTCAACAAATGATAGCTCCTGGGGAGTAGGAGTGATACTGGGGGCTACAGGGCCTGGGTTAGCCTCTACATCACCAGAGGAACAGAGGAGGACTAGAATAAGGATACGGCTAAAGGCTTTAAGAACTGGTCTTCTAGTGCGTTGGGTACATAGAATAAAGGGGGCAGATTTCCGGGTGTTATAGAAAAGATTCAGGGCATTATGTACAGACAAGGATATGGAAGGATATGAGTAAAGTGGAGGTAAACCTAAGCGTTGGGTAACACTGAAAGAGATAGTATCTCTAGAGGCATCAATTGAGTCGGTCTCTGAGTGTATGGGTGGAGGGACAAAGGAGCTAACTAAGGCTGGTTTAGCTAGGCTGGGGGGTCTACAGTGATATAGTACAATTAGAAATAACCGAAACAACAATAAACTAACCATGTTTGGGCTGAGGCTAAACATAAACAGGATGTAGTACCGTAAAAAGGAACAGTCCAGCAGATATCAGCTGTATAGCTGAGTTATCATAAGGTCCGGTGGTGAAGTGCTAGTGAGTAAGAGGCCACGGCTAGCGTGTGCTACGTCCGTTTTGTTGTAGCCAGCTGGTAGCGAAGAATCCGGAGTTAAAGGTCCAGTGATTCCGGCGGAAAAACTGATATGTTCTGGGTCGATAACGCGCAGTGCTGACTGGCCGAATATCCGGTGATCAAAGTCCAGTGATTAAAATTAATCCCGCGTGAAAAAATCAAATGTTCTGGGTGAAATACTGCTAGCTGTGGCTAATAGCAAGTAGCTAGTTCAGTAGCTAGTTCAGTTTAGTGAGTAAGCATGTGCTAACGGGCCAGGGCTAGCAGATGGATGGAATCTTCGTGGTTACGTCGTAACCACATCAGACGATTTCGTCGGCAGACCAGTCGTGTAGGATCGGCGGGGCTCCGTGTCAATACTATGTGGTCCCGTCCGGTTGATAGAGAGGTAGATAGCCGGGAGATGGGCCTAGCTCAGGTTGATTAGCCAGACCACAGCGTCCGTTTTGTTGTAGCCAGCTAGTAGCGATGAATCCGGAGTTAAAGGTCCAGTGAATCAGTGATTCCGCGGAAAAACTGATATGTTCTGGGTCGATAACGCGCTGTGCAGACTGGCCGAATATCCGGTGATCAATGTCCAGTGATTTAAATTAATCCCGCGGAAAAAAATCCAATGTTCTGGGTGAAAACACCGCTAGCTGTGGCTAATAGCAAGTAGCTAGTTAGCTGGCTAGCTAGTTTCAACTGGAGATTCTAGATTCTAGATAAAAGGTAAGTCAATAATAGAATCCGTTCCACATTGAGTGAGGCGGGTTGCAGGAAAGTATATTTTGTAGAAGGATGAAAAGTCTGATAGGGAAATATGTACGAAAAATACAAAAAAACAGGGTATTTACAGGCTATTTACAGACTCACGACAGAAACAGGACTGCACTACTTCGCCATCTTGGAAGTGATGATGAGTGAGAGTAATAATGCTGCTGTTTATTGACTGGCTTTGCTTTGCAGTCTGTGTGTGTGTGTGTGAGAGTGAGAAGAAAGGATGCCCACGCACTGAAGTTTCATGTTAAACTGAGTATGACACACTACATTTTTTTCTGTCTCTGTCTCTCCCTCTCTCTCAGCAGTCCCAGTTGTCTCACTACCCTGAGAGGAAGATAGCAGAGTTCCAGCTGAGCATCCAGGGGCTGGAGAAAGAGTATAAACGCTTCATCTGTAAACTGCAAGCCCTGGACACGACCTGTAAACACCAGCCCTGGACACCTAGAGCATACACCAAGAGGAGAGCAGACACACACATCTCCCCCAATACCGGTCAGTTTAACAGGCTTTGGCTCTGTTTTCTAGTTCCAACCAGTTTTGGTGTCTTACCTCTAACATAAACAATCAGCTTTCAAATGCTATATGGGTTGTCTTCTATTAAGAAGAGAGGTTCCCAATTTGTTTTGTAACACGATCATAGTCATAACCAACCTAAATGTATTGTGGCCCATAAAAAAGACCAAACCAATGTTACAGCCAGGTTCCTGTCTTTAGCCTTGACCCCAAAAATATCAGGCATGACTAACATTTTGAGAAACCCTGGTCTAGAGAAAGGGAATGTTTAAAAAAAAAAGGCAATTCCTGGTTTCTCTCATCTGTAGCCAAGAAACTACGCAGTCTCCAGTCATGTGATCTGAGCAGGCCGGTGGGTGGAGCAGAGAGTAACTGGGTCGTTGAAAGTACAGGAAGTGATGCAACATCAGCCTCTGAGAACCAGGGACACTTCCACCAATCAGGGACTTTCCTCAGCCCATTTCCAGTTGACCTGACTAATGCCAGCCCAGCAGCCTCAGAGTCCACCAATCCAGACGAGGATCAGGACCAGCCCCTGACCTTTGATCGCACCCGTCTGGCGGTGGCTCTAGCTGGGTCCAGAGGCCCATTACAACCACGGTCATATCACACTCAGAGCCTGGCCAGGGTGCTGCTCTCTGGGCTACCCAACCTCCACAGCTCCCCTCTGGGACGGGCCATTGCTACACAGGACAGAGACAATACAGGGGGAGAGAGAATAGACAGCACAGGGACAGGAGGAGCCCAGATCACCGTTAATGATGAAAAGAGCACAGGGCATGTACTGGGACTAGGCTGCTACTCCTCCTCAGACGAAGAAGCAGACACATGATATGGCTCTGTTATTAACACTGGATCCCTGATCACTACTCAGAACCCAATCTGCCATTCAGGAACATTCCATGCTCCAGTACTTGTCCATTTGGCTCTGAACTCTAATCAGCTGTTTTGAACCACAGGTTCTTTATTTTCTTATTGTACATTATGTAAATACACAATAAAAAGGACAATGATACAATATACTTCAATGGCTTTTCTTTTTCTTGCGAAAACAAATGTGACCCAACAGACAGCCCCTTCTGAGATTGTGGTGCTGAATTCTACTTTAGAAATAATATAAGAACCAATAATAATTAGTAGAACAGACATTCACTCCATTCTGATTGTTGGATTAGAACACGAAACAATAAGTGCAACAGATGATCTGCAAAGGCGATGACAAGAATAGGATGTCTATATTTCAGGGTGACATATGTCACTCTCAGGTTTCTATTTCTGTTGCGTAATCAGTCTCCCCCAACATCGGTCAGTTTAACAGGGTTTGGCTCTGTTGTCTAGTTCCAACCAGTTTTGGTGTCTTACCTCTAACATAAACAATCAGCTTTCACATGCTATATGGGTTGTCTTCTATTAAGAAGAGAGGTTCCCAATTTGTTTTGTAACACGATCATAGTCATAACCAACATAAATGTATTGTGGCCCATAAAAAAGACCAAACCAATATTACAGCCAGGTTCCTGTCTTTAGCCTTGACTCCAAAAATATCAGACATGACCAACATTTTGGGAAACCCAGGTCTAAAGAAAGGAAATATACAGTACTAGTCAAAAGTTTTGACACACCTACTCATTCAAGGATTTTTCTTAATTTTTACTATTTTCTACATTATAGAATAATACTGAAGACATTAAAACTATGAAATAACAAATATGGAATCATGTAGTAACCAAAAAAGTGTTAAAACACTTTGCCTTGATGACAGCTTTGCACACTCTTGGCATTCTCTCAACCAGCTTTACCTGGAATGCTTTTCCAACAGTCTTAAAGGAGTTCCCATATATGCTGAGCACTTGTCTGCTTTTCCTTCACTCTGCCGTCTGACTCATCCCAAGCCATCTCAATTGGGTTGAGGTCGGGGGGTTGTGGAGGCCAGGTCATCTGATGCAGCACTCCATCACTCTCCTTCTTGGTAAAATAGCCCTTACACAGCCTGGAGGTGTGTTGGGTCATTGTCCTGTTGAAAAACAAATGATAGTCCCACTAAGCCCAAACCAGATGGGATGGCGTATCGCTGCAGAATGCTGTAGTAGCCATGCTGGTTAAGTGTGCCTTGAATTCTAAATAAATCACAGACAGTGTCACCAGCAAAGCACCCCCACACCATAACAACTCTTCTTCCATGCTTTACGGTGGGAACTACACATGTGGAGATCATCTGTTCACCCACACCGCGTCTCACAAAGACACGGCGGTTTGAACCCAAAATCTCAAATTTGGACTCCAGACCAAAGGACACATTTTCACCGGTATAATGTCCATTGCTCGTGTTTATTGGCCCAAGCAGGTCTCTTCTTATTATTGGTGTCCTTTAGTAGTGGTTTCTTTGCAGCAATTTGACCACGAAGGCCTGATTCACACAGTCCCCTCTGAACAGTTGATGTTGAGATGTGTCTGTTACTTGAACTCTGTGAAGCATTTATTTGGGCTGCAATTTCTGAGGCTGGTAACTCTAAAGAACTTATTCTCTGCAGCAGAGGTAACTCTGGGTCTTCCATTCCTGTGGCGGTCCTCATGAGAGCCAGTTTCATCATAGCGCTTGATGGTTTTTACGACTGAACTTGAAGGAACTTTCAAATTTCTTAAAATGTTCCATATTGACTGACCTTCATGTCTTAAAGTAATGATGGACTGTCGTTTCTCTTTGCTTATTTTAGCTGTTCTTGCCATAATATGGACTTGGTCTTTTACTAAATAGGGCTATCTAAATATATTTTGAATTGTTTAACGCTTTTGTACAACATGATTCCATATGTGTTATTTCGTAGTTTGATGTCTTCACTATTATTCTACAATGTAAAAAATAGTAAAAATAAAGAAAAACCCTTGAATGAGTAGGTGTGTCCAAACTTTTGACTGGTAGAGGATATACAGTGAGGGAAAAAAAGTATTTGATCCCCTGCTGATTTTGTACGTTTGCCCACTGACAAAGAAATGATCAGTCTATAATTTTAATGGTAGGTTTATTTGAACAGTGAGAGACAGAATAACAACAAAAAAATCCAGAAAAACGCATGTAAAAAATGTTATAAATTGATTTGCATTTTAATGAGGGAAATAAGTATTTGACCCCCTCTCAATCAGAAAGATTTCTGGCTCCCAGGTGTCTTTTATATGGGTAACGAGCTGAGATTAGGAGCACACTCTTAAAGGGAGTGCTCCTAATCTCAGCTTGTTACCTGTATAAAAGACACCTGTCCACAGAAGCAATCAATCAATCAGATTCCAAACTCTCCACCATGGCCAAGACCAAAGAGCTCTCCAAGGATGTCAGGGACAAGATTGTAGAACTACACAAGGCTGGAATGGGCTACAAGACCATTGCCAAGCAGCTTGATGAGAAGGTGACAACAGTTGGTGCGATTATTTGCAAATGGAAGAAACACAAAATAACTGTCAATCTCCCTCGGCCTGGGGCTCCATGCAAGATCTCACCTCGTGGAGTTGCAATGATCATGAGAACGGTGAGGAATCAGCCCAGAACTACACGGGAGGATCTTGTCAATGAACTCAAGGCAGCTGGGACCATAGTCACCAAGAAAACAATTGGTAACACACTACGCCATGAAGGACTAAAATCCTGCAGCGCCCGCAAGGTCCCCCTGCTCAAGAAAGCACATATACAGGGCTGTCTGAAGTTTGCCAATGAACATCTGAATGATTCAGTGGAGAACTGGGTGAAAGTGTTGTGGTCAGATGAGACCAAAATCAAGCTCTTTGACATCAACTCAACTCGCCGTGTTTGGAGGAGGAGGAATGCTGCCTATGACCCCAAGAACACCATCCCCACCGTCAAACATGGAGGTGGAAACATTATGCTTTGGGGTTGTTTTTCTGTTAAGAGGACAGGACAACTTCACCGCATCAAAGGGACGATGGACGAGGCCATGTACCGTCAAATCTTGGGTGAGAACCTCCTTCCCTCAGCCAAGGCATTGAAAATGGGCCGTGGATGGTTATTCCAGCATGACAATGACCCAAAACACATGGCCAAGGCAACAAAGGAGTGGCTCAAGAAGAAGCACATTAAGGTCCTGGAGTGGCCTAGCCAGTCTCCAGACCTTAATCCCATAGAAAATCTGTGGAGGGAGCTGAAGGTTTGAGTTGCCAAACGTCAGCCTCGAAACTTAATGACTTGGAGAAGATCTGCAAAGAGGAGTGGGACAAAATTCCTCCTGAGATGTGTGCAAACCTGGTGGCCAACTACAAGAAACGTCTGACCTCTGTGATTGCCAACAAGGGTTTTGCCACCAAGTACTAAGACATGTTTTGCAGAGGGGTCAAATACTTATTTCCCTCATTAAAATACAAATCAATTTATAACATTTTTGACATGCGTTTTTCTGGATTTTTTTGTTGTCATTCTGTCTCTCACTGTTCAAATAAACCTACCATTGAAATTATAGACTGATCATGTCTTTGTCAGTGGGCAAACGTACAAAATCAGCAGGGGATCAAATACTTTTTTCCCTCACTGTATATAACCTTTTTGGTTCTTTGGATGAGATCTGGTACCAGGCAAGGAGGTAAGCGGGAGGTAAGCTTGGCTTCTTATATGGTGTCGAGTAAAGCTTAAACCATGTATTTAGATTGTAGGTAGTTTATCTAAGTAGTTATTGTAGGTAATTATTGTAGGTAAGTATTGTATTCGGCTGATCCCAATGAAGCACGAGGCTAGCTAATCCACTTGGACCAATAAAGCTAGCTAGCTAGCGGGTAGCTACTGGTAACTATTAGCAACTGTGGATAGTTGTTTCCAATGTTATTTCATGCTTAAGAGTACCTGTAATTATGCCAGCTAGCTACCTACCATTCAGCTGTTTTTCTAACCTCATTATCTGAAGCGTTAACGTTAGGTAGTTAGTAGCTACTGTACTCGAAATGTAGCTAGCTTGTTGCTACCTGGATAGCTAACTAAACAATAGCTGGAACGACCTAGCTGTATATTTGGAAACGCTTTCTCTCCGTTGGGACAGACGCGAACTGGCTGAATCGATTCAGTGGCTAGATTTGCACTTAACTGGCTAACAGTAGCTACTAAGGGTAAGTTATAACCTACATTTATTTTTGTTTTGTTTTTACATAATGGTAACGAGTCGTTCAAGGGAATTAGTTAACTGGTGACTAGTTAACGTTAGCTTGGCTCTCTCTGTGTGTTTCGTGCCGTCGGAGGAGGGGTGGTTCGTTGGCAGAGAGCAATGGCTAGCTAGTATGCTAACTATTCTAGCTAACTAACTGGCTGAATAAGTTGACGACGTACTCACAGAAAGCGTTTCCAAATATACAGCTAGGTCGTTCCAGCTATTGTTTAGTTAGCTATCCAGGTAGGCTGTGTCTTTGTGAGACGCGGTGTGGGTGAACGGATGATCTCCGCATGTGTGGTTCCCACCGTAAAGCATGGAGGAGGAGGTGTTATGGTGTGGGGGTGCTTTGCTGGTGACATTGTCTGTGATGTATTTAGAATTCAAGGCACACTTAACCAGCATGGCTACCAGAGCATTCTTCAGCGATACGCTATCCCATCTGGTTTGGGCTTAGTGGGTCTATCATTTGTTTTTCAACAGTGTCACGAACCGGCTCAAGTTCGTAACAAAAGGGAGACGTGTGGAGACAAGGAATACTCAAAGTATATATTTATTAACTAAAGTAAACTAAATCAATTAACAATGGTGTGTGTAATCAGTAATCAGTAGTGTGAGTGTTTGCATGCATAAATGTAATATGGAAAGGTGTTGAAAGGTGCCAAAGCAAACAACCAAAAAGCCACAAAAATACCACAACAACAATCAAAGTATCTGCCTGGAGAGAGTCTCCTCAATGAATGTGGAAGAGGTCCATTTATCCTGGGACACACCCGGCCCAGGTGTTTCCCATGTAGCTGACGACCATCCCAACTCCGCCCACCGGCATCCTAATAAGGAAACAAGAGCAGAGAGAGAATACGGCAGACAGAGTGGGAGGGTCGTCACCCCCCCCCCCCCCCCCCCCCCCCCATAAAACCGGGGACCAACAAGGACCCC